TGCATTACAAAAATAAGTATAATAATGACGGAATTTAATACGATAACAAAAACAACTCTCATAAGAAGTAATGAAAATTTGTCTGTGAGAGAAAAGAAAATGGAAAACGGGGGATTTCATCCATATTTATGGAGGGGAAACTTCCACAAGTGACAGCAAATTGATCCTATATCGGGTCCTGAATTTCTACATCTGATCAATTTCTACGGCTTATTTTCCAAGACTACAGTAACAGAAGTCAAAAGTCCCCATCAGCAAAAACCACACAACCTACAGCTAAACTGAAATATTTGTGTCTGATTTCAAAGTCACTAAATGTACAACCAAGACAAAACCTAGACTTAAAGCACTACACATACAGCTAAACAGAAATATTTGTGTCTGATTTCAAAGTCACTAAATGTATAAACAAAATCTTTTATTTTCTCTCATTGAAAAATCGTAATGCATTTAACGCATCATTGAAAACAGTCACATGTTATGGGATTTATCAGCTAAGATTAAATCTTCATCAACAATATTATTACCATATGTTTCACAATCACCATGGCAACTTAAACATATGCTACATTATATACAGATTTAGTTTCTGTTGATATGTCACAGGTGAAAGTATAGCACACCAACTGTAAGAACGTTTATACCTAAAGTTGTCCTTTGAATGCTAGAAACTATTAATACACTGCACATTTTTTTCTATTCTTAGCTTTCTTCTAAAATCTTGGTTCTTTATGGTCATTTTTCAATATCCCAATTTCATGCTTCACAAGAAGTTAAATTTACAAAAGACATGATATTTTCATAATTAAACAATTGCCATGATGATGCTCAGTCAGAAATTTTTATAAAAAAAGCATTTTTAAGTAGGTAATTTAAGTGGGAGGCTTATTTTCGAACATTTTCTTCAGCTTGGTAATGTCAATAGAATAGAAGTTCTTATCACACAATAAGTCGAAAATGTGATATTTTGATGACTACATGGTCACCTTCATCAGACACTGGACTCAGATGTTTGAGTCTTGGACTTATGCTTTTCTTGTGGGACTCACTCAAAGTTGGAGGACTCACTACATCTCTTAGAATTGGGACTCATCAAAGTTGGAGGACTCACTATATCTCTTAGCATTGGGACTCATCAAAGTTGGAGGACTCACTATATCTCTTAGCATTGGGACTCATCAAAGTTTAAGGACTCACTATATCTCTTAGCATTGGGACTCATCAAAGTTTGAGGACTCACTATATCTCTTAGCATGGGACTCATCAAAGTTTGAGGACTCACTATATCTCTTAGCATTGGGACTCATCAAAGTTGGAGGACTCACTATATCTCTTAGCATTGGGACTCATCAAAGTTTGAGGACTCACTATATCTCTTAGCATTGGGACTCATCAAAGTTTGAGGACTCACTATATCTCTTAGCATTGGGACTCATCAAAGTTGGAGGACTCACTATATCTCTTAGCATTGGGACTCATCAAAGTTTGAGGACTCACTATATCTCTTAGCATTGGGACTCATCAAAGTTGGAGGACTCACTATATCTCTTAGCATTGGGACTCATCAAAGTTTGAGGCATTGGGACTCATCAAAGTTTGAGGACTCACTATATCTCTTAGAATTGGGACTCATCAAAGTTGGAGGACTCACTATATCTCTTAGCATTGGGACTCATCAAAGTTGGAGGACTCACTATATCTCTTAGCATTGGGACTCATCAAAGTTTCAGGACTCACTATATCTCTTAGCACTGGGACTCCTCAAAGTTGGAGGACTCACTCTATCTCTTAGCATTGGGACTCATCAAAGTTTGAGGACTCACTATATCTCTTAGCATGGGACTCATCAAAGTTTGAGGACTCACTATATCTCTTAGCATTGGGACTCATCAAAGTTGGAGGACTCACTATATCTCTTAGAATTGGGACTCATCAAAGTTTGAGGACTCACTATATCTCTTAGCATTGGGACTCATCAAAGTTTGAGGACTCACTATATCTCTTAGCATTGGGACTCATCAAAGTTGGAGGACTCACTATATCTCTTAGCATTGGGACTCATCAAAGTTTGAGGACTCACTATATCTCTTAGCATTGGGACTCATCAAAGTTGGAGGACTCACTATATCTCTTAGCATTGGGACTCATCAAAGTTTGAGGACTCACTATATCTCTTAGCATGGGACTCATCAAAGTTTGAGGACTCACTATATCTCTTAGCATTGGGACTCATCAAAGTTGGAGGACTCACTATATCTCTTAGCATTGGGACTCATCAAAGTTGGAGGACTCACTATATCTCTTAGCATTGGGACTCATCAAAGTTTGAGGACTCACTATATCTCTTAGCATTGGGACTCATCAAAGTTGGAGGACTCACTATATCTCTTAGCATTGGGACTCATCAAAGTTTGAGGACTTACTATATCTCTTAGCATGGGACTCATCAAAGTTTGAGGACTCACTATATCTCTTAGCATTGGGACTCATCAAAGTTGGAGGACTCACTATATCTCTTAGCATTGGGACTCATCAAAGTTGGAGGACTCACTATATCTCTTAGCATTGGGACTCATCAAAGTTTGAGGACTCACTATATCTCTTAGCATTGGGACTCATCAAAGTTTGGAATTGGTGTTCTGGACTTGCCTTTAAAAGTCCTAAAATATTACTGAGACAAATGACCAGCGTAATTTAAGCCCACTAAGACAGACATCCATAGTCTATAAGACGATAAGGAATCAACCATTTTTCCTGTCTGTACTACAATACTTTGTACACAAAGGTAGAAAATGGTGTGAAGAGATGGTAAAGAGATTACAGAAAAGAAGTAAACAAGATGGTAACAAGCTCCTGTAGTTCATTCAGCTATGCTTTAATGTTTAAAAATTGGTCATAGATGTGCACGAGTCTATGGCCCCAAGACCAAGGCCCCAAAAAAACACCAAGGAAAAGAACAAACAGAATGACAGGACAGGTAGTCATCCCTTACATCTATGGCCTGCCAAAAACCATGCAGAGGAAAAACAGTGGTCATGGTGTTTTATATAGCCGTGAAACCTTACATGACTTTCCGAAATGACAGAGTCCATGAAAGGGGAAAAACACTCAGAAAGAGAATGTGGCAGAAAGTGTACACAATATCAGATGCAAGAACTGCGAAACATCGTATATCGGAAAAACTGGCAGGAGTTTCCAGATCAAAAGCAACGAACAGGAAAATGACACAGAATCCCAAGAATGCAGAAAATGCACCAGACCAGAGTGAAAGCAATCTCAGTCCAAGATTAATCGGCACTTCAGATCATTCAAAAACATATCATTGACTAGGAAAGTTTTCTAGAACACGGACAGAGAAAACTTTTTCAGGAGCTGGAAAAATTAACCACCCTTTTCATAACACTTTTTTCCACAAAACTTAACTGTAACCGCAAATATCATAGCAATAGTGTTAACATTGGATCTCTGCTCTTTACTGAGGTCTTCTGGAAACTGTATGAATCATACACAAAATGTCAAAGCAAACAGTTCCAAGACAACTGTCTCATCCTTTGATTCCCAAAAGGAACATAACTCTCTATTGATTTTAGGCAACACTCATCAAATTGTCACCACACATCTTAAGTTCTAAACATCTGTTCTTATTCCTTTTCCAACAGCCAGTATGTGAATACTTTCTTTATCCATTACAATGACAAACTCCAGAAATCTCTCGAAATACAATCAATATGCTTTAATTTGATTTATTGTAATTTGTACTGAGATTTCAAATGAATATTGTATAGTTATTGAAGGGAATGCTAAGAAGACATAATTCTCATGAATATTCACAACAAACCTGACAAAAGCATCGATGGTAAACTGAATTTTTTTTTCTGTATACCATCCTTTCTGTCAATACAATATTTTTCAGAAAGCAACATTTTTATTTTATGACTGTATTCAGAATTTGAATAATTTATTAAGATGTTTAAAATTCAAATCATAAATAACAAGTTTGAATTATTTATTGTTGAGGACAAAGGTGATGTGAATCCCAAACTATATACATGCATATTGTTACCCATCAAGGACCCAAACAAACTGCCCTTCACACAAATCCCAGATTTGTCAGCATGCCATACTGCAGGTTAATTTTCAAGGGTTATGTTGTATACTACTTTCAATGTTAAAATAATAACATTGCGAAAAAAACATATATATCTAGAAAATAAAAATAACATTGAGGTCAATAGGACATTACAATAATTTACATGAAAAATGCATCCTTTCTGCACTAAGGTTTTTGTAAAACTGAAAAAATCTGTTGAACTGAAAAAACAAATATTTCAATATTTCTTTTCTACTGTAAGACTTACATGTTACCGATAATTCTAAATATAACAAACAGATACTATATTTATTTAAGTCCATGCCTGGTAATAAGCCCATTCTCCATCATTGCCTTGCAATTGGCCGATTCCATACTATGAGTCAGAGAAAACAGACTTGGTATGTAGTAATTTATGCGGTAATATTAAGACATTTCTCTGTTAAATTGTTGAATAAATTAGAACACGTCAGCAAAATATATACTTGGGTAATCCCTTTCATGAATACTTAAGTATCAATGTTTGACAAATTTCTCTAACTAGTAATGGTGACTTTGACCTTGACATCAAACACTAGCTGAAACATTAACCTATTCAAAGTTTTCTCAAAGATGAGTTTGCATGAAGTTCCAACAAAATCTCATAAGAAATGATGTCGCTAAATATAACTTAAAAAAATTAGGAGAGAATGGAATAGAACATGACAGGACAGGGACCGGATGGGACAGCCATATACAAATTCTAGTTTGTTGCATGAGTTCATGATTACAAATGACTTTATCAATTAATAAATATTTTCTGATTTGAATCAGTTTATCCTGTCATTTATCAACAAAAGTTCAATTTGTAAACAAATAATGAATATTTATCTTTATTCATTGGGAAATTGATTTGCTAGCAAATTTTTACCTGCAGTATAAGTAGGCACAAGAAATATGCATTGGCCAGTCGCTGGAACTGCTCGAACATGTTCTTCGGTAAGAAGGTAAACATGTTGTACTTGGTGGTACGTATATAGTTATTCTGTAACGAGAAGAATGGAGAGGTTTTGATTCAAATTCTTGAATCCAAACTTCTTTGATATTTCTTAAAATTACTTAACACATGAAGTGTACATTACAAGGTAATTCTCAGATGAATGTCACAACTGTCTTCAAAATTCGTAAGCCTGAAATTGCTATGGCTATAAAATCATCTGTTACGGAAGGACAATATTAATTCCAAAATCAACAAAGGGCAATAACTCTGCTTATTAGGAAACTTTAGCCAAACCAAAACTCAACTTTAGAATAAAACATCATTTTCTTACCAAAACATGAACAAAGGACAAAAACAAAAGTGCAAGACCAATTAAATTATATTAGTCACAGACAGTTCTCAAGATATTACTGTAAACAAAGCATGGAAAAGAATAGTTAAGTTATACTGGACATACTCTAGAGAAATTGGAAATAACTCATGGTTACTTAGCTGCTGTATACTGTATCTAAGCAACTCGATCATTGTCAGACAGACAAACCAATAAGATCCTACAAAGTTGAAACTTGTTTTCTTGAAACTCAAGGGACCATGGAAAATATTTCAATTTAGCTGAATTTCGACTCCAACAAAGGGTCCAAATAAGGTTGACAATAACAGTTTCCTGACGTTGATTACAGTTAAATGATGTACAGTCTACAGTCTAGCATGCAAACAGCGTAATTTAATCTCTTATTTGAAATGGCAATAACTTAACAGAAACAAAATAATGATTAATTTCTCTCTTTATTGTTTATTCATCCGAACAACAAAACAATAACAACTCCAATTAAATACAATTGTACTTATGTTGTTCTGTCCTGCATACTTGCACACTACTCTTACTGACCAAGCACATATAGATAATATATTTTACGAAATGACAATAAAAGAAATTAAAAATTAAAATTTGCTTTTGATATGCTACAAGAAACAATGTGTTCAGCTATAGATCATATGAATACAATTTTATTATGAGCAAATAATCACATGAAAAACATGGCACTAGAAAAGTCTTACGGGTTATAGAAAGCCTTATACAAGCACTAGACTAAGCTAATCACAGATAGAAATAGAGATTGATATCTATTAATGAACAAGAGACCCACCGGCCATAACGGTCATCTGACTACAAAAACAGTAGGGAAAAGGGTTATTTTTTCAACTTTTCATGAATTCTTACTAAGAAGCTGTTTTCCATGATGCAGACAATAGTTTTGGTGAGGAGTAGGTAACTGTAACAAGTGTTACCTAATTTTTGACAGTAAAGTTGGAGCTCAATCTAACTGCTGAAACTTGAAAAGAAGTTTGAAATAGGTACAGGAAAACCATAATTGACAAGTTTAAACAAAGTAAAAAAATAACAACACTTTATTGGCTCCAAATGGCACCAGTGGAACTGGAAAAGAAGTTTAAAATATGTTTTTAAAGATGGCAGCCATCTTGGATTCTGACCAACCTGTAAAATAACGACACTTGGTCATGATCATTTCGGACAAGTTGCTCAATCCCACTGGTGAAACTTGAGAAAAAGTTTGAAATAGGTGTTGCACAGGAAAACCATGACTTCACAATCATCTTAAAAATGGCCTCCGTTGCTGCTAAGTCAATGTTTTGATAAGGTTGAAAAAGAACACCACTTTGTTGGCTACTTTTCCTTAACATTCCCACCAATTTTTAGCTCAATCGCACTAAGGGAACTGGAGAAGAAGATTAAAATACGTTTTTCGATATGGCGGCCATGTTCGCCATCTCTGATTTCAGACATACCATCTCCGGGTCATTTTGTGCATGTTTGAGCTCAATCCCACTGGTGGGACTTGAGAAGAAATTATAAATGTCAAAAGTTTTCACATAGCATACAATGATGGACAAAGCACAATGGTTACAGGGTATCATGACCTATAAATACTTTCAGGATTTCAGTGTCCAAACACTAAATCTTGTTCTCTCGAAAGTGTGTGGATTAGATTTCGTCAAAAAGTTTGTGATGGTTTTGTCGTTGTATTGTTCCTGAAGAAGCATGCAACCAAGCTAAATGTTTTCATGTCTTGTGTAGATGCGCTACTTTTTTAATGCAGGTAAGTCACTGCTACAGGATGGTGACACTAATTAAGAAGCCAACTTTAAATTAGATAATGAAACTAGTAGTTAAGGGCCAGAGACCAAGCGTTGTGCAGACGATGGACCTATACATAATAATCATCCATATGTTACACACTGTTTCTACTTTATGTATCTTGGCCTATTGACTGATTTCTTCAGAAGATGTTTTGACAAAAATTAATTTTGAGACAACAAATGACTTTTCCCTTGCTTTCCAAATGATGGGACTAAAAAATCACTTTGACTCAACCCAAATTTTGACTCAATGAAATTTGAGTCATCTGAACTAAAATTACAAAGATACAGACAGAAAAAAATCAGGACTTGGAAAATTATTTCGACTCATGCGATATCGAGACAAGTTTCAGCTGTATATCATAATCAATTTCTGTCATTACAAGACAAATACGACCAATTGAACACACGAGACAAAATCTATTGAGGACATTGTGAAATGTTATGATTTTGAATATAAAGAAAATTAGAAATCTCTCCCTAATCTAATTTCAAACAAGGTAAATTTGAAAAAAAAATCATCTCTATTTTAAATATGGTGTCAGATTTAACTAACTTATGATTGTCTAATCTAAAAATAAAACAAATCCTTTAATCAGGCAGACATTCCTATATTACATATATTTCATGTAAATTTAAATACTTACTGCATACATAAACTGCTTGTTGTGTTCTGGGTCATTGGCCCTGATGTGCCTCTCCAGCTCTGAAATCAAAACAAGAAACAAAACAATTCAAAAGTGATAAGTAATGACAGATGAGCCGGGAGATACTGGAAATTTGCCATAAAAGTGTCAGCAATAACTTTGTACAGAATGTACTTCAGCATTTACTCTGTGTCATCATTTCGAAATTTTAGCCATTCAGCCATGTCTCTATTTCTCTCCTTGTCTTACTTTCTCAATCCAAAAATGCTTCCCTATCTCCCATCCTCACCTCCCCAAACCCCATCCTAACTCCCTAACCTCCATTGTCCATATCTGCATTCCTATCTCCCTTTCCCTATCTCCCCCATCAATATGCACACCCTATTCCTCCTCTTGCCTTACTTCCCAACCCAGTCTGATATCTCCCTCCCCAACTCCTCTCCCTAATCCATATCCAAATTCTTATATCCCTCCTGTCTTTTGCATCTCCCCATTCCCTATTTGTGTCCTTATGTCCTTCTTACTGCACCCCAACCCTATCTTCCTCACCTCATTGCCTCTTTTCCTCACTGCCCTCCTCACCCCAATCCATGACCCTTAATTCCTTCCCTCTCTTCCCCCACCTCATTCTGTGTTCCTTAATATAATCCCTCCCCTTTCCTCCCCTCACATCCATCTGTGTCCTCATTTTCCTCCCAGCATTCCTTTACCTCATCCAAACCCCATCAAAACCATGTCCCATAATCCTTATTCCCATCTCCTTCCCCCCATCCCACCTTCTCTAACTGCATCAATATCATTATCTGCCTTCCCCATTTTCTCAGCCCCCTCCCCCAAAATCAGTTTCCCTTGGTGATTCCTATCATCTCCTCCATTATAAATTTCTCTATGAGAACAGATATATTTCAGTAAACACCAGATGTGGCCAAGATCATATGATTTATAAAACAGGTATCATAATACCATTATAACTGACAGCATTTGGTCCAAAATGGTGCTGATTAATGCGTTAGACAGCTTAATGACGATAGCTTCTATCAGGGGATTGATAATCAAATATCTGTGATCAAAGACATACGGATTAAAACAGTAGAAAATATATCTGTGAAGATAATAAGACAACTCCTAACTGGTATTGATTTCATGCAGTATGTATTTTTTTCATCAGATTAAGATGCATGAGAGTTGCGTCACTGAAAAGTACAGTCGAGAAAATATGGAATCGGAATATGACAACAACTATCTAAGTGCAGCTGTATATCTGGACTTACAATATTATAAATCAGATATACCCCACAACAGCTCTGTCTCAACAGTATCATGGGTAGGCTAGAAGTAGTATGTTCTGTAAAGCTTTAGCTACAGAACGGGAGTACACAGGGTGGGCTTATTACAGCACATTGAAATAGTACTTGTTTTAAAGCTCATACAGCCTACTGAAGAGCAGTAGATTGAGTGGGCTTATCACCAAGCATGGGCTTACAGCAACATTTTACTTAGAAAATATAAGACTCTGAACTTGAATAGACCATTCACAATACCTTAGGTTAAAGCTATCTTATACAGACACAACCTGCTGATACATCCATACATTACAGATTCCCAATAAAACTTCATCACCATCTATATATTTTAGACAAAAAATGGGATATATTTTACTTTGATGTTACTGGAACGTGATCGGAAACTTGTTATCAAAAGTTGAAAATGTCGCCATGTACAAATATGTTTAGTCAGGTAGGATGGTTATCTCGCGACATTTAAATTTCAACAATAGTTTTTCTCTTTAACTTTAATCAGAATTGCAACAAACTCCTGGGCTATCATTATAATCAATATTGTTTATAACATTGTTAAAAACGAGTTGATTTACTTTGCCTCTTTTTTTTCAAATGACACATTGTTAACAATGAAAGTGTAGTCCATAGAGCATCAAGTCTACACAACCTCTAGTGTACATATCTAAAGTGTGGCAGCTGGTTTCATATACACAGTCCTACCTGTGGCAGTTTGTATTTCTCATGTCACTAAGCAACAGACCTATCTGCAATGTAATGGTTGTGTTATTTGTCAAAACAATTAACCACAACTGCTCTGTATGGCATATCATGGGCCTCCCATATGTTGTTCTGTGGGGGAGCCAGTAGCTACTTTTGAGATACCCAGCCTCAAAATGACCATGGCATTTCACAGGACAATAAACCCATCAAAATTAATAAACGCAATTGTCCAATTTGAAAGCTATTCTGAATTGGTCTTTGTTTTCATTTAACATATAAACATATGTAAATATTTCTGTGATTTATCATCATTTCACACTAAATGTCATAGTATAATTAAGAAATCCTTGATTGGTGTCAAGCTCTGAATTTTGCATTTTTGGTACTGTATCAATAAATAATTTTCCCAAAATATCCTAAAAAAATTTTGCAATGTTTAAATGGATTGTTTACAGAACAGCTTAATTAATTGCAAACACAGACAGCAATAAATGTTAAAAACTAATGATAAGAAAAAATCGATGTTAGAAATAATACCACTACAAACCATATCCAGCATCATGGATTTTCTGACGACCGCAGCATTGAATGAGTGGCATAATTCCTTTACAGAGAAATATTCATCATCATAACACGGTTGTCAATCCAAGTCCAGAATAATCACACCATTTACATAACTAAACACGGTTGAGTTCCGTTAAGACATCAATGAAGTGTTACACATCAATAACATACTGTATCCTGTGTGCTGGTTCACTCAGATCAATTGCACAGCCACTTTTCTAGCTGGCTTCATTTACCATCGTCAACCTTTCAGCAAACTCCACAATAATAAATGAAGCTTTGTGACTCTTCCCCCCTTAATCTTAACGAAACCATTCCAAACAAAATGCGTTCTCTGATAACCTATGAATTGTTATCAATTCGATCATGACGGCAGTTGAGGACTCTTTACGATTCATGCCATAAACAAATCCTAGGTATCTTTAACCACAAAGACGCTACTGCTTCACTTCAATTTCCATAATAACCCAAAAGATGGCACTCATACTCTTCATTCATCCAGTTGTACAGCTGTATCATCTATGTAGTATTTTACACAATGTTGATGGGTCACAGACCTGTCCCTGGTGTGATAAACCATTATGATCTCTACTTCTGTGGAAATTCTCTTGAGACCAACAAACTGGTTGTACATGACATGTCAATCAGGAGCAGAATATTCGCATAATGGCAGATAATTGGTCCACAATAGAGAGCTCCAGATTTACTGCGCAGACTTAAATATATATATACATACATATATATACACACATCTAGATATAAAGTTTCTGATTCTAATGCATATGTAAGTATTCAAACTATTGATTTTTCGCCGACAGAAATGTCAAACAATTTATACCAGTTTTAATAGGTCTAAGGATAATTCATTTTTTACCCTCCTTTATATTCAAAATCCATCTCTGCTGTAAAAATTCCCTTGGGTCATTCCAAAATTATATCAAAGCTGTGCTAAATCAAGAGTCCAACCCACACCTAAAGGTTCTCTAGTCTAACAGAGAACAAGAAAAAAAAAATCAATATAAAGCTAGAATGCTGTTCTTTTCTCTTCAAATTCATCACATTTATTTTTGACATGTGATTCTCAAGTCACTTTTCACTAATATCAACATTGAATTTACTTTCATTAAGCACAATATTCAGCATGCGATTTTCTGTTACTTGATTACCACAACTTAACCTGCCATTCACCATTATTCAGCACAGTTAGTCAATTTAGTCACTGTAACTTAGCAATATAACATTGAGCACACAAAACATAATTTAATCTGTCACTAGTATTCTGTACACAAAACAATGGTTTAACTAGGCCTGTCACTTATAAACAGCACACAAAATATAGTCTACCTGTCATTATTCAGCACACAAAACATAATTTCATCTGTCACTAGTATTCCGTACACAAAACAATGGTTTAACTAGGCCTGTCACTTATAAACAGCACACAAAACATAGTCTACCTGTCATTATTCAGCACACAAAACATAATTTACCCTATACAGCTGAGGGAACATTTTTAATCAATCATTATCTATATTGCATGACTATAGCAGCTTCTGAAACTCCCTCAGAGACTCCAGTGTTCATATACTGTTACCAGCAGAAATAAAAGTTTAAAGATGTTAATTAAAAGCGTAGCTGGCTACATGTAGGGAATTCTTAAAAGTGGAAATATTCCTACTTTCTTCTTTGACAAAAACCCCAACAAACTACAAACTTCAAACCTATGTTAAAGGCCACCCTTATAAAAAGGCCACTTGCCTATAAAGGTCACTACCTCATGCCCTGTGTAATGCAGTTTATAGTAACTCAACCTCTATATAAAGACCACTTGTGTATAAAGATCACTTTTCACTGGTTCTTTGAGTAACCTGACCTTTACAGACAGGTTTGACTGTCCTTGTAACATCAAATGAACAAAAAAAAACAGATTCCCATCCAATACACTCTTGTTGACATTAAAATTCTTAAAAGCATGTTTCATGTAATCTTCATATGATAATATAAAAAAAAAAATCTCAAAAACAATATTGATGTCTTAATCTTATAAGGCTACAAAGAGTTCAAAGTTCAGACCAATTAAATAAAAAACAACGAAAAATAACATCATTTCAACAGAATTATCAATAAAACACAAATGCAATAAACTTACGCCAAAAAAGAACAAAAGGATTATATTCTCAAAACAACATGTTTAGAATTACAGTTCACTTGAAATCTTATTTATTTCACTGAAGTTTTGTATCGTATTTATATGCCAATAAGCCCACTGGGGTGCATTACATATAACTAAAAGTCAGAAGGCAGGCTTATTACAAGACAATCAAATAGCATTGGTTTATAAAACCAGTTAACAGTAATATATGGGTGAGCTTATTACAGGCATGGGCTTATTGCTTTGTGTATATATAATCTATTCAGTAATATCAACCGTATGGTCCAATATAGGTACTGGATCCTAACAAATTGTCATTGGATGTGAATTGCTCGTATAGATATATGTTGTTTTTTATGTTCTATGTATATGATGTAATTCATGTAATTTGTGTCTTTTAAGCAGCAGGTTGGCTCGAAAATTTGTTAATTTGCTTGTCCATACTGGCTGCTTTTACTTCATTGATCATTTATATGTAATAAAAAAAAGACCTAATGCTTTCCAGTGTACCACTGACTTATTATTTCAAATTCGGTGCACTTATGTCCAGAAATTATTTTAAATTTCATATTTATCATTATCATTAGGTATCCACAGCCTTGTAAATCTTCTGTCACCCTGAATTAAGTATGGATTCTAATGCTGGTCATACCTGTATCAACCACGCCTAATACCATTCATATTACTTATGGTCTTCACACATACAACTGTTACTAATGTACATATACAGCTGTCATGGATTAAATCTGCGCCATCTGAAAACTTCTCGTAAGATATGGTTACAACTCCTAGTTGTTTACATCTCCAGTGTAGTCACCATTTGTCAGTGTTACAAATTCACGGTGGATTAACAAGTCCAGAAAAGGTGTTGTTAAAGATTTACTTTTTATAAATATATACAAACACATACACACGAACCTCCATCTAAAAATCGTCTACAGTAAATTTCCAGTACAGTATTTTTGGATTTCTATAATACACTATCTGTTTTCTACATGTCTATCATTAAGACTGTCAAGGAGATTCCCTTTCCTTAAGTACTCATAATAAGTCCATTAATGTTGACCTAATTAGATTTATACCTCATTATATTTCATAAC